ATCATCAGACAGAGAGAAGAACAAGAACATACCCATACTCTTGATTCATTCACATCTCCCCACAGACCGCCCCAACCCACTCTACCCAAGGACTCACACTTAGGTCCCTATCCATACTTCCTACTACCACAACCCACACCTCTATGAGACAGAAATACATATGGGGTGGTGTGTGCAAACACACATGTCAGAAAACAAAAGAGTACAGTGTGCGTGCCTAGGGGCCAACTGCGTGAGAAGAACTGCGTGTTCAAGTGGGTTCCAGAGAGACAAGAGGATGTCACCTGTCTGTGGACAGCTGCTCATGCCCCATCATGAACTGCAGATTGTCGATGACCACATGACAAATGTCATAGACGTATACTGCATGTTGCATTGTGTCTATTACAGTCCTGGGAAGAGGAAAAGGCAATGAATTCAAGAGTCAATTATAAGTAGTCTCTTTAAACCATCCCAGCAAAAAGCCAACATTCCTGAAAATTCTGTTGGGATCTCTTCTCCTGCCCTTCCATTCTTTGAAAACCCTAGGCCTTGGAATCTTACCTGATGCTCTGCTGCCCATGAAAAGTCATGAAATAGAGAGGCAAGTCCTCAAAGCGGTCTGCCCACTCGTCGTATTTGTCCAGTTGCTCTTCTAGCCGCCCCACAGCGAACTGTGTCAGCATGACCCGGGCTAGTCTCACGTTGCTGATCTCAAAGCTACCCCAGAGTGTGTTTACCCCCTGGGTACACAAATCCAGGGCATACTCACTGATGAATGTCGTCTTTCCACTGCCAGTTGGCCCTGCAGGGGGGTTGAACACAGACCTGGGTGAGGGAGGAAAGTTCTACCCTTAAAACCAAGACCTGGAGCAAGGGCTTCAAAGTTGGGAGAAGCCTCCTCTTTAACATTTGCCATGGCCCAAACCCACATGCTTTTGTCACCTGATCCTTTGCCTCTTACCCCAAGTAGTGATTTCCCAAGGGCTCACCTGTGAAGACTGTCAGCTCACCCTTCCGATGTCCCTTCAAGAGACGATTGAGGTCTGGGAAGCGGTTCCAGCGGATGCCAGCTGCCTGCTCCACATTTGACAGTTCTCCTAGCACCTCCTCCCGAAGCTGCCGGAAAGACACAATAGACTTGTGCCAGGCAGGCAGGGCAGTACGCAGAATACGAGAAAGATTTAAGCCTCGGTTCAGGGCCTCCAGGGCACGGGGCTGCTGGTCCCCAGGCCGCACCAAGGAGCATCGCTTGGGATTCAGTTTTCGGGCAAACAACTTGGCAGCTTCCCAGGACCGAAGGTCATCTCCCAGCCAGAGCACAATACGTCGAAACTGTTCAAGGTAAGGGAGCAAGGCAGGGGGTAAGCAGGCAGTTCCTCGGGGTAGGGCCAGGGTGGGCAGTCCTGTGGATTGGTTCAAGGCCAGGCTGTCCAGCTCTCGACCTGTCAGTACCACCTCAACATCTCGCCGACTGATCAGTGGTAATCCAAACAGATTGTGGTAGACACCAGGCCGGGGAATGGTGGTTTCCTTATAGTGCACTTCATCTCCCTGGCCTTCAGCACTTAGTAGCTTCAGGCCTCTTAATCCCAAACCTCCAGGGGAGAGCCAAGGGAAGACAAGGCTTCGAGCAGGCCGCAAATACCGCACACTGAAACGCCTGAGTGCATCATCTGTCACTTTGGTAAGGCCAAACATCACACGAGCCAGCTGGGCCTCCTCTGGTTCGGGCAGCTCCCAGAGAGGTATGGCTCGGTCCCAGATCCTCCGGACCTCCTCACTGTCCTCAGCTTCTGGGGCCTCACCAAGCAGGACCCCCTCTCTGGCCCCATCCCCTCGCCCCTCCACGCTGGCCTGGAAGTCTTCCCAGCTCCCCTCTGCTAGGCTGGTCATGCAGAGAAAGCGGCCTGTGGTCTTGTCAATGAAAAGGCTGAAGGAAGCAGTAGCACCAGTTTGGTCCTTGAGCTGCAAGGCCTTCACAAACGGGCTCGGTGCCCGCAGGCAGCTGTGGCCATCCTGGAAGGGGATCGCATGTGCCCGCAAATACTGGCGGATTTCAGTTGCAGTTACAGGCAACACTGGTACCTCCAAGGCTGGGAGAGCGTCCTTCCTGTACCGTCTTCGAGGAGAGCCTGGGACCAAGCTTCTGGGCAGGCCCCTCCGACCCATCCACTCCCCACGCAGGAGTAGCAGGATACGGAGGGGGTACCCACCTCGAAGGAGTACCCACATTCCTAGTCAAATCGAGGAAGTCACTAACTGAAATGCTTTCCGTCCCTGGTTTCGGTGCCTTCACTAGGTCAGACCCTAGGGATCCTCTGCACAGCACACTCTACAGAGCCCACTCGAGGTGGCTTCTTTCTAACAACTTGTCCCTCATAAACATCTCTCTGAATCCTCTTCAGCCCCTCTGCATTGCTACTTCACATCTATGCCCATCTTTCACGTCCGTGTGCCTCTATCCGGCGCTCTACCTGTATGGTCCCGTACCGCCACCGCCTCACCTCTTCGATCCTCCACACTGCCCCTCACCGCTCTACTTTCCCTAGATCATCTCTTCACCACTCCCGCCGGGTCAGGGGATCTCCTCGTCGTTCCCATCTCTACCGCCGCCTGCGTTGTTCCTGACCCCAACGCGCAGCCCCCAAGGGGAGGCCCTCTTCGCCGCTCCTTCCCTCAAAGGGGACTCGCCACGACCAGAGCGCCACCGGGCGGCTCCCGCCAGTCCCCGCGCTCACCTCGCCCCCGCGACCGCGTCCTCCCTCGGCTCTACTGACAGAAGCTGCGCTGCTCGCGACCCTGACCACGCGTCACTACCCTCCCCTCGCCCCTCTCGCCCGCAACCCGGGTCACTGGCACGCCTCGCGCCGTGACCGCGGAAGCAAAACTCCCGGCCGCGGGTGTTCCCGGAACCGGAAGCCTTGGCGTTCGTCTCGCCCCCCCCACCCCCCAGCCCCTCCAGGCCGGTCTGGGCTACCTGGGCGCTGCACCTATGACGGCGCGCGGGACCCCGAGCCGCTTCCTGGCCAGTGTCCTCCACAACGGGCTGGGGCGCTACGTGCAGCAGCTGCAGCGTCTCAGCTTTAGCCTCAGCCGCGATGCGCCGTCGTCTCGTGGCGCCAGGTGAACTGGGCAAAGGGCGCGGGGTGCTCTCCGGGCTGAGGTCGCCCCGGGTCAGGGGTCGCTGTGCTTACTCTTCTCGGCTTCCTCAGGGAGTTCGTGGAACGAGAGGTGGCCGACTTCGCCCGACGGAACCCGGGGGTCGTAATATACGTAAACTCGCGGCCGTGCTGTGTGCCCAGAGTAGTGGCCGAATACCGTGAGTGGGGCGGGGCGAGGGCTGGAGGGCGGCTGGGGGCGGGTTGGGGGCGTGGAGACTGGGCCCGCTCGCCTTCCTCTGCTCTGACCCCTGATTCATCCGCTTCCTCTCCCCCGACCCCCTTCCTTCCGCCAGTTAACGGGGCAGTGCGTGAGGAGAGCATCCACTGCAAGTCAGTCGAGGAGATTGCGACGCTGGTGCAGAAGCTGGCGGACCAGTCGGGCTTGGACGTGATCCGCATCCGCAAGCCCTTCCACACGGACAGCCCTAGCATCCAGGGCCAGTGGCACCCCTTCACCAACAAACCGACAACGTTGGGTGGGCTGCGCCCGCGAGAGGTCCAAGATGCTGCCCTAGCCCAGGCGCAAGTGCCATGAAGAGTTGCCCACCAACTCCAATACCCAGGCTTTGGACTCTTACCCCAGTGGAGGTGGTTCTTCCTCTTTGGGTTCAGGGGATTCCAAGTCCACACAGGCAGATAGAGCCCACCAAAAGGGAAACTGACGCCAAAGCTTTTGCTTGGGATAAAGAAGAGCTGTCTTTTTGTTGCTCATGAGGCAGGGCAGTGACTGTTAGTCTCCTAATTCTTCCCCATTTGATATCTCTGAAACCTGACTCTTCAAGGGTATTACAGGCATTTATTTCTGAAACCCAGATTGATAACAGTGATCTTAAATCCCAGCGAGTGCTTTCAAGATTGGGATCTGAAGAACCCCCCCGTGTCCTGTTTCTGTAACCATTGAGCTAGAGAGCTAGCATCTTATATCCTGCTGTGAACCTGGCATTAGGATAACCACTTTATATCCGTGTGAATGTTTAGATTAGAAAACTGAGGTTAATAAACTTGTTCGAAGGCACCTGGGTGGCTCAGTCGTTAAGTGTCTGCCTTCGGCTCAGGTCATGATCCCAGGGTCCTTGGATCGAGTCCCACATCGGGCTCCCTGCTCAGCGGGGAGCCTGCTTCTCCCCCTGCCTCTCCCCCTGCTTATGTTCCCTCTCTCGCTGTGTCTCTCTCTGTCAAATAAATAAATAAAATCTTTAAAAAAAAATAATAAACTTGTTCGAGGTTACACTTGAGGTCTTCAAAATATGTGTAGATTTTAAATATAACCTCGCTTTTCCTTATCCCAAAACCAGAAGCGGAACATATAACCCTTCAGGATGGTTAGTATCAAAGGCCACGTGATTAATCTAGTCCTGACCCTTGGAGAGTGATTCTCAGGTTAGATCTGTGGTAACAAGCTTGCCTTTGTCCTAACTATTCCCTAAGACAGGCTCCTCTGCAGAAAGGAATTCATGTTGTCCTTTGTTGGGGGAGGGGAGGTACTGAAAAGCTTCTTGTGGACGAACAAGAGAAATGATAAACAGGGAGCATCTTCTAGGCTCAGCTGAAACAAGGGGGAGGAATGGTGAGGAAGAGAGTCAGGAGGTAAAAACCTAGAAACCTTTGTATGAATTCTTGAACAGTTGTAATTTTGTTTGTCATGCCCTTATCACCATGCTCAGTGAGTGGTGAGAGCCTTATAAAGGCCTGTGTACCTGCCCAGGGCAGCCAGATGGAAGCTGAGGATCCCAGTTTTCTCTGCAAATGGTTTTATGGGGAGCAGAGCCAACCCTGCAGCACTGTTTCCATAGGCTCAGAAGCCTGCCCCCTGGTGATCAGGGAAGGCCAATTTAGATCAAGCGGAACACACATAGCTGTGGGGAGAGAGGGTATTTATTAACCAACAGGAGGGGGAGGAGCTGAGCCCAGGCTCCCCACTCTGTCACATGCCTGTTCTGCCCACCTGGGTGGTGAGTGGGGGCATTCCTAAATAAGTATAGCCGTTCTCACAATAAATACATTCATTGTGGGGTGGAGGTGGGAGAGATTGGGTGAAGGGCAGTAAAAATCCGTGGGGATTCCACGTTCTCAGCTACAAAAATAACAGTCATCCTCACCCAAGGGGAACAGGGGAGCTCAGTCAGGATTTGATTGTCCCATATGGGCCTGGAGACTTTAGAGGCCCCTGGACCCTGAAAGTGCCCCGGTGAGGTAGGACAGGGATGGGAGCCAAGCATCCAAACTCCCAGCCTCTGCCCTTTGCATAGTTCCAAGAACGGGCTTCATGTGCCAGGTGAGACATCAGATCTCCTCCCCCTGCTCTGGTCTAGGGGTAGCAAATGCTTGGTCCCCAAAAGGGAGGCTGGCTCATTGCAGTGTTGGTCACCCATCCTAGGGAAATGTCTGAGAGGACAGCTGGACAGGAGAGGGCTCTCCCTCTGAAACGTCCATGGACCAAACCCAACAGACACAGGTCCGAGGCAGCAAAGGGAGGCTCAGAAATGCATGTGGAAATGTAAGCACATGTGCGTGAAGGGACATGCCTGGGGCTCTCTCTGTCACTCTTGAGAGTGACCAAGGGGGTGGGGGGGCTGACTCACGAGGGCTGCACATTAAGGAAGAAGAGGGGAATGACACAGTCTCACAGTCTTACCTCCCCAGGCTGGCCTGTTCCCAAGCTCTTGCCAAAGAGGTCACCACATGGGGCTGGAACTAGGGGAGAGGACTAGATAGGATGGGATGTGGCAATTGGAAGGGTACCCAAAGTCCAGGAGAAATGAAACACAAGAATGCACCGGGAGATGGGGGTGGGGGCCCTGCAGCCCAGCTGACAGACATTCATCCATGTGCATGTGTGAATGTACGCAGGGCTCAGGTGGCTCTGGTGGCTGGCAGAGGTCTCGTCTGGTTTCAGGACCGTCCAGCACATAGGGCCATGCAGAGGGTGGTGACATTGAGGTCATCTGGACCTGCAGAGCCCTGCCTGGGAGAAAGAGGAAGGGTCTGAGCAGACAAATGGGGCAGGAGGATGGCATCCTCTCCTCCCAAGTGCTTGGGTTAAGGGAATAGGAATTGGGACTGGGTCTACAGAACACCAGGTCCTGAGGGAGTACCCACCTCTGAGGAGCACCGGTTGGCCTGGGCTGCTCACAGATGGGTCTGTGGAGACTGAGGAGGGGGCTTTGGCTGGGCCTGACTCTGCCAGCCCTACTGGGACATCAAAAAGTTGGGAGAAGGGCCTGGAGTTGAGGGGGGACTGAAGGTAGAGTGGCTGTGTTGGGGAAGCAGCAGCCCAGCCTGGGGCAGACAGGCTGGCTTGGAAGAGCATTTGTCCTAGGAGGCTGCGCTCAGACAGAGCTCTCATCCAGGTGCTCTACGAGCTGCGTGTGTTTCCTCTTCTCCAGGATGCGGCTGAGCTCCTCGGCAAATGAGCAGGGCCCTGCTGGTGCTCCATTGTTGCTCTGTCTCAGGAGCACGTAGCTGTTGCCATTCATCCTGCGCAGCCGGCTGGGCAGAGCCACCAGCCCATTGGTCAGCTCAGCCGGTGGGGGTGGGGGTGGTGGAGGCGGTGGGGCTGGGGCTGCCTCCCCAGGGATGATCTGGAGGCAGCCACCTTCCAGTCCCCCAGGCCCCTCCCCATCATCACCCTCATCTTCCTCTCCAGGACACTGGCCTGAAACAGTCTGCAACTGCACAGCAGAGCCCCCTGCCCGGCCAGCCCGACCCAGAGAGTATTTCCTTCGATGCCCTCGTCTGCCTCCCTGAAGACAGGCCACATAGAGGAGGGAGGAAGCTAGGATGAGGCAGAGGCCGCCAAGTGTAGCGATGGCTAGCACATAGAGCAGCCTCACGTCAGGGGCCAGCTGTGCCCCAGGCATGGCAGGGGCTTGTGGAGCTGGGGCAGGAGTGGCTGGCCGGACTGTGAGGCTGTAGGAGGCCAGCAGGGTGCGGAGGCCATTCTCCTCAGCATAGCAGCCATAGTTGCCACTGTGCTCAGGCTGTATGTCTGTCACCAGCAGCCCATCCACGCCCACGCGGTAGCCATGCTGCCCATCACTCAGGCCCATGCTCCCATTGAGCAACCACAAGGCCCGGGCCAGGTTGGATGGCTGGTCACAGGGCAGGAGGACATCATCCCCTCGGAGCACAGAGCGGGTTTTCAGTGGTGGTGGTGGCCCTGGAGGGGGGTGAGAAACAGGAGTGGTCAATGCTTGTCTATCTCAGGGAGGGCATTAGAGATGGCAGGCCAGATGGTTCACTGTTAGCATCCCTAGCACGGTGACAACTGACCAAGGTCTCCTGTGCTCATGCTCCCATGTAAGGTTCGCACTGGCCCTTCCCAGTTTCAATTCCTGGTGATTTGTAATCTTGACCTCCAGCCCAGGGTTCTCTCCTGACTATCAGACTCTAACATCTTCCACCTGCAGGGCATCTCCGTGTGAGGCCTCTTGGACATAACGGCACAGGAACTAAGGCCAAAGCCTCCCTCCCAAACTATATCAGGTCTTTTCCTTGAATTGTCATCACAGTGAATGGCACCACTAGCTACTCAGCTGTTTAAGTTAGAAAGAAACCTGGGAGTCTCCCCTGCCTCTCTCTCCCCCTCACCATTGTATCTAACCCTCACCAAGATTCTGCTTCCAGAATCCATCTCAGACCTGTTCACTTCTCTCCTTCCCCAACTGGGGAAGCCGGCCCACTCTGGCCCCCATCTAATCCATTCTCCATGCAGCAGTGGGGGTATCCTTTTAAAAACACCATACTGATTACGCCGCTCCCCTCCTTCAACGTGGTCCTTGCCCACTTCTCCAGCCCCTCCTCAAACACACCAAGCTCATCTGCCTGCTGTTCCTTCTGCTCGGGTGCTGCCCCCCGCCCCCCCCCCACGCCCTCCACTGGTTCACTTGGAGGAAAGAGCACAGCAGTGATGAAAAGCACAAACTCGAGTCAGGCCGCCCGGGGTCAGGTTTGAATTCTGACCCTGCCACTTAATAGCCTATTAATTTTGGGTGGTTTACTTATTCTCCCTGGACCTCAGAGAGATTGCCCCTCATGGGGATGGGGATCGTGGCACCTGTCCCCCAGGGATGCTGGGAGAGTAAGTGAGACCGTGTGTGTAAGTGTTCAGTCAACACATGTCACAAGTACTCAGTACATGTTCACTGTGGCGATTAACTTCTGCTCTTCAGGCATCAGCTCAGTCAACTGATTTTCCTCAGGGAAGTACCCATTATCCTTCAAACCCTTGTCATAGTTGTTAGTATTCCTTTTGTAACAAAAACCAATGAAATAATTATTTGGGTGATCATTTAATTGTCTGCCCCCCCCCACCCAACTTGGCTCTAAGCTCCAGAAGCGACAAAGACTTCCCATCTTGAGCCTGTCTCCTCATTTATGGTTCTTTGGGCAACAACCGTCTGTGAAGCGCTTACTCTGCCAAACTCTGCTGGGATGTCCTGGATGAAAGCCCACAGACGCGGCCGTTCGGAGACACACATGCACAGGTAAATGACAATCGATGTAGAGAGGACAGGCTGTGCAGCCTGTGAAGGTCACTTACCTGTGTCCCTGTTGCCTTCACAGCCTCGGTTGCCTCTCTCCATGTCCTGTATCAGGGCCGTCCTGGATTCAAGAACAGGGGAACTGAGCTTTAGTTTTCCCCAGCAGCAGCATCCACGAGGCTGCCGCCAACTGCCCCCACGTCCCCCACAGCTGGCAGGCCTTCCTCCTCCCCTCAGGCCCTGATTCCCTGCTCACATGGGACCCTCACCACGCCCCCCACCACCTCTCACCTGCTCCCCTGGGACCCGCTGAATATGGTGCAGGCATGCGTGCTGGGGTCCCAGCCACAGTAGGGGTCCCGGGCCAGGATGCAGTCATAGCAGGAGCGGTAGCGGGAGCAGCTAGACAGTGGTAGCTGGATGACTCCACTAGGGGCCCCCACATAGAGGCTATGCTGGGAGTCAGAGAGCAAAGCTGGTTGGCAACACCCCCAACTCCCACCTACAGACACACACGGCCACTGCCCAGCCACCCACTCCCTCCCCCTATTCTGGCAAAGCCATATTGAGGGTCATGAGTCAGAGGCTACCTGCATTGGAGAGATGACCAGATTTTCCACAGACTGGGGCTCCTTGAACACTTGCGTCTCTTCGATAATGTGCATCCCAGAGCCCAGCACCACGGCCTTGTGGATCCAGCCATCGACTGGTACGGAGTGGGCAGAGGGTCAGAACCCAACAGTGGAATCTGGTTTTGGTCCCCTGCAATAGCCTAAGGGGAGCAGCTCGGGAGTCATGAGATCAGGGACAAGGATTCAGCCGGTAGCAGTTCCTCAGGACACTGGGAACTCTGGGCTAGTCATGGCAGAAATGATTAGTGATCAGGGTCAAATATCACTGTGTTTGGTGACAGGAGTCAGCAGTTACCCAGAGCCAGTGGTCATCGGGGACCAGTAGTGAGTGTTCAATGAAGAATCAACATCAATGGCCACCAGGGTTTTGTGATCAAAAGTCATCCAGGGGATTAGCGGTCAACGGGGATCAAGGACTCAGTTACCAAAGGGCTCAGACCAGGGGTCAGAAGTACCTGTGCCTAGAAAGAGCAGGTCATAGGTGGGCCCGGCAGGCGTGGTGACAGGCGTCCCTGTGAGGTGTGTATAGCGCACATTGCGCTTAAGCAGCAGGGGCCGTCCGCGTGTGGGCAGCACGGGCCGGGCCATCAGTGGGTGCAACTTCACAAAGTCCAGGACCAGGGATGGCAAATCCTGGGATGAGTTGTAGCCTCGGGTGCGCAATGAATCTGTGATGCACTGGGGTGGGGGACGGAGGTGGTGAACCTCAGGAATCTACTGCCTGCCTGTCCCCCGCCACCCCCAAGGCTAGATCCTTCTGCCCCTCCCAGGGGTTCTGTCCACCCAGCGCCGACCCTAGGCTTGGGCACTCACTGAGCCAGGCCGGGGCTCCGGCACCCCGCCCTCATAGCGGCCCCAGCGCCGGGCACCATCCTGGTATTCCATGTAGGGACCTGCGAAGACAGCCTGCACCTCGGCCAGGTCATAGCGGCAGATGGCTGAGGCCTCTAGGGTCTTCCTAGGAAGGGACATAGGGGAAGGGGCTGAGCCACACTGAGTGGAACCTGCCCCCCTGCCACCTGCCCAGCCTGGAGCCTGCTGTTACCCTGGCCGACCCCAGCTCTAGGCCTCAGGACCTCTCCAAAGGTCAGTAGGCCACTGTGGCCTCTGGCCCCAGGCTAACTGGGTGTACCTGAAAGTCTCTCTCTGCAGCCAGCCTCCCCACGAGGGATCCTATCGTATCCTCACTGACCTCTGCTCAGCCCCCATGCTGTCCCCAGTTCCTCCTCTCCCTCTCCCCACTGTCCCTGCACTGACCACTGTGTGGTCAGCGTGAAGGCCGCATAAAAGTGCGTGCGGGCTGAGGTGTCAGCGTCCAGGCTGCAGACAGCACGTAGCGTCTCATACTGGGGTATGTGGCAAATGAGACGCGCCTTTAGGAAGGAGGTCCACTTCTTCTGCAAGATCTTCTTTCCTCCCAGGTCTCCCTGGGGAGGCAGGGGCACGGGGTCAGGGTCAAAGGTTCAGCTTCTACACTCTTGCCCTGGACTTGGTCCTACTCACCTTGCACACACGGGCCACACGGGCCACACGGTGGCTGTTGCGGCTCTGAGCAAAGCTGTTGGGGACCTCGTCAGTGGCACGCTCTGTGAAGAAGTAGTAAACCTTGTCGTCATCACCCACTGTGCTGGCCTCGCTCTCTCGCACCAGGACAGAGAAGACAAACTCAGCATCTGTGGGTTGGACAGTTCAAGTGGCCTCTGAGACAGGCTGGGGATCCCCTCCACCACTACCCCTCAGTCAGCACCACAAAGGAATAGACAGGTTCACCTGGGAATTTAGGGAGGGGACGGTCAACTGCCCAAGGGAGTAAAAATAAATAGTCCCCTGCCCCCCTCCCCCAGCATCCTGTGCCTCAATCTCCTGACCATTGAGCCAGTGCATCGGTGCCTCCTCAGTCCTCAGGGCGTGCGGGTGGCGGCTCCGGCGGATGTCAGGGATGCTCCGGAATTCATACCGTGTGGCTGTGTAGAGGCCTCCATCTGGAGCAGAGACATGCCAAGTGTGAGACATGTCACATACAACAAGGCGCATAACATACACGGGTGGCAAGTCCTGGCAACGGGATCCATGTCCCACAAATAGCATGCTGGTGGGTGAGGGGCCGGGGTGGGGAGGAGACAGCATGTTCACCAATGATGAGGCCTGTGAAGCCACGGGCTGGGTCGTAAGGACACTTCTCCTTCCCCTCTTCAAAGCTTGTTGGCAAGGTGAAGGCCTCAGCATCCTGGGGGAATATGGGGCCAGAAGTCAGTGGTCTCCAGGACAGGCAGGGGTGTGGCCCAAGGTCAGACCAGTCTGGGGCCACGGAGGGCCACAGACCAGGGGCCAGGGGCCTGGGACCAGCAATCAGGGCTGGGGCAGGCATACTCACAATGGCTGCACAGAGGGGCTGGAAGGCATGAGTCCCACATGCGTAGAAGTGGGTGGCATTGAGCCGCTGAAAGAATCGCACGTGGTTGAAGCACTCCGTCTGTGGGGTGGGTGGGGGAGGGCTGTGAGCCCCCAGCCTGCTTAGAGGCCTTTTCCATTAATCAATCCAGCTTTGTCGTCCAGCTCTTGCCCCCACCACAGGTCATGGTTCTTTCTGAAATCCCAGTGGGCCTGCTCACCGTCCGGGACACAGACTACTCCCCGGCACTCACTGTCCTTTGGCTTCCCAGTGGCATGAGCCCTCTTCTTGCTTCTCTCTCACTGTCAGGATTACCTGACACACTTAGCCAGCTTCTCCTGCATTTCCCGCAGGCCCCTGCATCCCCAGTTCTGGGGCCCCCAAGGGCTCCCGCCGCCCTGAGATGCTTCTCTCACATCTCCTTCTCAGCAGTGCCCCCGTCCTGGAGCCCCCACATGCCCTCTGGGGTGACACTACCAAATCTATCCCCAGGCTCTGGCCCTCTCTCCATCTGATAGCCCACGGACACATCAAACTCACATCAAACTCACCTCGTCACAAACCAAGCTCATTCCGTCCTCCCTAACCCACATCTTCCCTCCTAAACCTGTTCATCCAGTCTTTCCCACTTCACTCCATCCGTGCATCCTATTACTCAGTCGAGATACCAGGAGTCAGCCTTGCTGCCTCCCACTCCCTCACCCCACATTCAGTCCTTCTCCAGGAGTCTTTGTCGTTAAGTGTCTCCTGATGTGGTCCACTTCCCCTTCCCCTCCACCACCCTAGTCCACGTTACCACTGTCACCTCTTCCCTGAACAAATGTAGGGACTGCCTGACTGTTCTCCCAAGCCTCCGCCACTCTATAAAAGCTACCTATTTAGCCAGTGAATGAGGAATACATGTATGCAGTGTAAAATTCAAAAGGTACAAAGGGATATGTTGTAAACAGAGCATCTCCTTTTATCCCTGTTGCCTTCAAAGGGGACTGCTGTTACTGTTGTCTGCAGTCTCCTTCCAGAGATATTCTACCCATCAGCACCCTCTGGCAACCCACTTTCCAAGGTGTATTTTAAAAATGTAAACCAAATCATGTCACTGCTGTATTTAAAAAAAACTTTGGTGGCTCACCAGAGTCCTGAACATGGGGTTGCACCACTTCTGCCCCTGCATGATAGGGCTCTGCCCCTTCCTCACCCCCTCCAGCCACACTGCTCTTCTCTGCCCATTAAATGCCGTAAGCTGAGACCTTGACTTCTTTGCCTTGTTAATGATTCTTCCTCCTGCCTGTTACCCAGGGTTTGAATCCACGCAGACCTCTTTGTCTCATCCCATTCCCTCCCTCGGTGTATCTGTCCCTTCTCTCCACTAGCCTGCTCAGGTCTCCCTCCTCCGACCCCCATGATGCTCCCAACCCCCATTGTCTTTCCTGCCTCCAGACTCACTCTATTTTAATCCTTCTGGTGCCTGGGGCAGGATTAATATTCCTGTAGTAGTGTTTCCCCAAGATGTTTACATAAGAAAAGGGGGGTGAGGGAGTCTTATTTGACTTATTTGACTCTGTGGTCAAATAAGTTGGAAGCCATGGCTAAAACTTGCCTTTCCAGGGGATTTTTCAGAGCCTTAAAGATGTTGCTGTGCATTGTGGGATTGAGCATACAGCACTTCCCAGACTCATGTGAGCATTAAGCCCTTCTTTTGAAAATCAGCGTTCCTCAGAACATGCTTTGGGAAGTGTTCTCCTAAGGCTTTGCTACCTCAAGTGTGGCTTGGGAACCGGCAGCATCAGTTTCCTCTGGAAGCTTGTTAGAACTGCCAAATCTTGGGCCCTTCCCCAGGCTTACTGAGTTAGCATCTGCATTTATAACATACCCTGGGGCTTCATGTGCACACTAAAGTTGGAGAGTCTATAAAGTACCAAGTGGTGAGGGTGTCCGTTGTCACAGGGTAAAAGCCATCCCCCGAGCTGGGCACTTACAGTGCTCTGTGACCTGGGTTCCACTTGCCTCACCAGCCCCCCTTTCTGCCCATGCCGCAGGCTGTACCAGCAGGCATCTTTGATGGAGTCTCTTAGAGGTGCCTCTTTAAAGTTTTATTTGTTTTATTTTCGAGGGAGAGAGCATGAGCAGGTGGAGGGGCAGAGGGAGAGGGAGAGGGGAAGCAGACTCCCTGCTGAGCGGGAGCCCCAGGAACCAGAGGAGCCGAGTGGGGTGAGTGGGGAGTCCGAAGCAGGGCTTCATCCCACGGCCCTGAGATCATGACCTGAGCTGAAACCAAGAGTCAGACACTCAACCTGACTGAGCCACTCGGGCGCCCCTGGGGATGTGTATTCTTAAAAAGCTCTCCAGAGGCATCTATTCCATAGCCCGACCTGGGACCCCTGCAGACACCCTGTTCTTTAGCCAGAAAGAGTAGTAATTCACTACCACCCCTCCATGGTATACCGGGTACCTGAGCGATTCCTTGACCAAACCTCATTTTTTACATCTGTAAAATGGAGGACAAAACTACTTCATAGGGTTATTTTAGAATTAGGAGAGATAACAGCTAAGTCAGCATTTACTAGAGATTACTTATTGCTCTCATGATTATTATTCAGGAGCCCAGAAGAGGTTAAGAGGCCACTATGGGCCAAGCCGGTAGGTCGCCAGATGCTTGGCTTAGAAGTGCTGCACCTAGGGCCTGCCACTCCATCTACACTCACGTGTTTGTTGTGGTTGCTGCAACTGACTGGCTGATCCATACCTCTCCATCTGTGTCCCCACCAACCCTGACATCCCCAAATGAAGAGAAGGAAAGGAGCTGGGGACAGGGCAGACCACATACCTGGTTGTTTTTCCCCTTCTGATGACATCTGCTTTGCATCTCTGGGGAGGCCTCCCAGCGGATCTGGAGACGGGGAAAGGAATGGGCTGATTTGCTAACCCCAGTTCCCTTGTCTTTCACCATTGTCTGTGGGACCAGGTGACAGGACTGCAGGAAACAGGGGAAACTGGGGTACAGAAGTGTCAGGAGTGCTATTGGATGGTAAAGGAGACCTGGCTTGGGAAGGGCAGTGCTATCTGACCAGAGGGCTATAAAGCTGGAGACCTTCCAGGTACTCCAGGCTCTGGGGGCTAACCTCTTTGTGAGCCCCATCTCCTATGTCACGGGCATTGAGAGAGAACAGGGCACCTCGGGCTCCAACCAGCAGTCTTGCGGAGGATTCCTCCAGTAGCAGTGTTGAGTAGTTCTGGGCTTGACCCTTGAAGTGCCGGGTCCTGGAGAGCTCTGGAGAGTGGGAGCAGTGAGCCCGGCCCTGGGGCTGCCTCTCTACTCCCAGACCTGGCTCCCGCTGCCTTTCAAAGTTGGGGGAGGGGTGTCTAACCTTCATAGGGGATGGTCATCCGCGGGGTGGCATCTAGTTCTCTGGATGGCCTCCGCAGTGAGGGTCCAGGGACTGCAGTTGCTGTGAGGAAGCTCAGGAGGAGGGGCCAGAGCCTCCCCCACATTTTCCTTGGGAGGCCCAGACCAGTAAGACCCCCAAGGGGAGCCAGGGCCAGAGTCACAGGGGATGATGGGAAGAACAGTCACGGGGGTCAAGGTCCAGAGAGGTCACTTGGAAGGTCAGGGGTCATGGGGCCAGGGAGGGTCCTGGAATCGAGGGGACATGGAATCACAGGGTTGTGTGGCCATGGAATCCCAGGTTAGAGGTCAGAGGGAGGGATGGATCACACACTGCCTTTCTGCATCAGATACAAACTCCATGGTGGAAGGGAGTTGTAGGGTCATACAGGGGTTGTAGGTCACTGATGGGGTCACCCTGCCCCGACAGAAGGACTAGTCCTGGTTCTCTGAGGTCTGTTTTCTGAAGAAAGAAACAGGAAAAAAAAAAAGCTCTTTTATCTGTGTGTGGGTAGAAGGTAGATGGCATTACCCGCAGACTTCAGGGGGCACTGGTGGGAGAAGGCCCACAGAATCCCACATCAGGATCAGCTCACTGTCATTCTGTCTACCTCTCTGCTCTGATGCAAGCTGGGCAGAATTTGCCCTCCTTACCAGACCCTAGACTCCTCCCAGCCCAAACGCAAAGTAATGGCCCTCCTCTGACCAAGTCAGAAGCTAAGCTAGGTCTCCATCTCGACTAGAGCTCCGTTTCAGGGAGAATGCCTTCTCCTACCAACAATGAGACCAAACTTGGGACCGCAGCTGCCCCTGCTGCCTGCGGGGGTGCCTTATGCAAGAAGGCTGGGCAGAGACATTTAATGGGCCTTTGTTTATTTTATCCTGTTTTCCCTTTGTTTCTTCTTCTCCCTGGCCTGAGAGCTCCCTCTGGAATTTCTCTTTAATGAGACACTTCTCCTCCTCAGCATTCCTCTCCGAGGGGGTGCACATCTCTACTCTGCCCATGCGAGTCTGTACTGCACCCTCTGGCCTAGGCATCCACACATGCCCCTACCTGCAAACAGTCACTCATAGACATGGGGGGGTTGGCATCTGGGCCCCCCTGGTTGCACAGGTGTAAAGTCTGTGCCAGAGGCTCTAGTGTGCAAGACCAGTTGAGACATAAGCAACGTGGAAAAGGTGAATGATGAGATCCCTGAGTTCTTGGCCACCTCCCCTGGCACATCTTGGAGACTATTCCCACACCGGGACACTCAAGCCAACCAGTTGCGGATGGGGTGGAAGTAGGTGGCAGGCCTTCTGTGACCCCTGTAATAGGCCTGATCTCTGAGGTGGCTCTTGAAAGCTTCCTTGACTGGGCTGGGTATGAAGGAAGCCTGACCCACCCAATCTCATCAGACACCCACAGACCGGGCCACAGGGGCCACTGGCCTCTCCCCTCTTTTCCAGGTCAAATATTAACTATGTGGCCTTGAAGAGAAGGGAAGGACCAGGAACTGGCCAGAGGGAGAACAGAAATTTGGAGCATTTATTTATGAGGTAAAGGTCAGCACTGTAGTGGTCAGAGCCCCGAAGGGGAGAATGTAGTATGAGTGGAGAGAAGAGGGTCCTTGGACCACAGAAAGGGCATCCACCCCTCGTGTGGGGGCTGGGCAGCAGGAAGTCCCAGGCAAACTGCCCATGCCCCGCCTCTCATTGTGGAGGCACACCTGTTTACCTTTGGGGCCTCCTATTTGCTTAGTGCAGAAGTGGGGGGAGCCCTATGGCTATGAGGTATCAGTCCCTAGGATTGGGCAAGAGGAACACACCCCAGGTCAGAGGAACCACTCAGAGTGTGGTTCATGGCAAAAGTCACACATAATCCAGAGAGGGGTGATGTGCATGCAATAGGTTCACATACACACATGTTCACAGAAGGACTGTGAGCACATGTACTCACAGGAGAGTCATGCAAACATACATTCACAGGGAGGTTTGTGCATGTATATGTTCATATAAAGGGCCTGCCAGATGTGTTCATACACACTGACAAATCAGGTTGTATTCACATATTCATATCCATTCATTCAGCAGGTTACACAGCCTCAGAGATTGACAAGGAAGGTTATAAACCTACACATGTGCATATGAAGGATTGTACACCTATTCACAGAAAGGTCCAGCACATACACACATATGTGTAGGGACATGCACACAAACCCAATACAGTAGGTCAGTCATGTTCATGTTCATAGAAGGGTCAAGTAAATGTGTGTTCACACAGTACTCAAACACACAATTACATGTATGCAGAGACAAGCGTATGTACAAACAGGGGTCCAGTTCTCACTGCAGGCTTGGAGGCTGCCAGTATCCACTGAGGTGCAGAGCAGACCCTCCCTCCCTTCCCGAAAGTCCCAATTTTAAGGCCAGATTCTAAGTGTGTGTGTAGTGATGTGGGGAGGCATCTGACCTCAGATGCTCGGATGGGATGGGCCTCTCTGCAAAGGACGGAGGGGGTACCGAACCCAGGTGAAAGGAGCCCTAGCTTTAGCAAAGGAAGGATGGAATGGGACGTGTAACTTAGCGCTGGTCTACTCCGATGTATATACTGCTGTTCTAGATGTGGGAGTTGGACAGGGGCTCTCAACCCCCATTTAACCTGTTGGGAGGGAGGGCGGGGCTAAACGGGGGGGCGGAGCTGCTGCCCTCCCTCCCCCAGTGGCCACAAGGCTTCAAGGTCTCCAGTCCACACCCCACACTCCACCCCCAGTTCCACAGTTTGGGTTCCTACCCAGGGCCAGCCCCCTGAACTCTGGTCACCTTCCGACTATTAGATCCTAGGGCTGAAGAAACTGAGGAGGGGAGACACCCCCTCCCCCCAAAACAGGATCGATGTTGGATCAGCAGGCTCTCGACCTTCATCCCAGATGTCCACCTGCTTAGTGTAGGCGGCATCCCCCTCTGCCCAGTAGGATGGCCGTCTTTCTGGCCTGAGAGCCCCTCCCCCGCTACCCTCTCTTCCACCATCCTGGACGGTCCGCGCGTCTTCCCTCTCCTCAGATCTAATCTCAGTCTCTACTGCTGCAGCTCGAGGACAAGCTCTCCTTCGATCCCGCCGGACGCCAGGAGACGTGACCCAGATCCCAGGGAACACTGTTCGCCACGCGGGTCCCCGCCCCGCGCCGGTCCCCGACTCCGCGGTGGCGGGTCTGCGCCCAGTACGGCCCGAGGCCTGGCCCGCGCCCCCCCTCCCCGCCCCCAGAGCCTTTATGCGGGACCCGGAGACTCGGCTCTGAGAAAGGCCTGGCCCAGCGTGGAGGGTGGAATGGACGTGGGGAAGGCCTGGCCTGGCCTCCGCCCCCCGGCCCAGGCCCCGCCGCCGCCCGCACTCCCTGCCTCTCTCACCTTCGCGCTCCGATCCCTGGCCATAGAGACGGCGACGCGCTGCTCCGCGGCCCCACAGCACCAGCTGCGGGAGGAAGGGGCCGCGGCCGGAGGCGGGGCGGGGGTGGAGGCGGAGCCGGGGGTGGGGCGGGGGCTGGAAGGCGGGACCAGGGAGGCGGGGCCGACTGGGTGGCGTGCAGGGAAGGGCGCCGCTCTCTTCTTTTATGCCCCCCACCCTACACAATAGAGAAGGTTTGAGGCCAGACTCCCACGGCCTCCGGGCTTCTGGCGTCCTCCGCCCCCAGGGCCGTGGCCTCCGTATCGCCCCCTGGTGGTGGCCTCATCACGCCGTGCGCCCTCGACAGGCTTAAAACCCACCTTCTCTCCCCTCTAGCCCTAGGACCCCTCCGACTTTACTGTTGGGGACTGACAAAACTGTTCTCTGGGGGCTTAACTTTCCGAGGGCCCTCTAACCTGTCTTCTAATCTGGACCTCACTTTTTGCGCGCCTGCCACTCTCTTCTGCTCTCTGCCTAGGGTGCAGTGGGCCACAGTAGGTGGAGGCCGAGCGTTGGGGCAGCTCTGAACACAGAACAGGGCCTGGATTCCCAGCTCAAGAGCCTCCAGCTGCTTGGTCCTTCAGCTTGAAGTCTGAGTGGGTCGGGCTTGGTGGGATGAAGTAACGGCCTGAGCAGAAGTTCACAAAGACAATGCGGTTTTTCTGGATAAATAAGCCACAAGGGTTTGCCCTTGTCCACTCAACCAAACCTTATGGTAACTGGGATTTACCTCCTCAGGGACTGGGTCACTCAGATAACTGCCTTCCCTTCCAGCTCATGAACATCATTCTTACTCCAGGTCTTCCAGTTAACTCTCCTCATCGGCAATCAGATATCCTGTCCCTCCTAGGCTCAGTCACCTCACCTAGAAGCAATCTAGGAAGCCCCCCTCAGAATCAACTTCCCAACCAGGGGTCCAGGATGGTCCTCCCATGCAACCTTTGGTGCTGCAGTTTCCTGGCAACTCGGGCTATACCTTTGCCTCATGGCCTGTTAAAGACCCCTCTAGGGTTTGAATCAAACCGGGGCTCTAGCTGTGACCTGGCCTGATCCTCCCCCTCCCTCATCCATGACATTATTGTAATGGGCCGAAGAGCAGGACTAAAATGCTGAAGGCTACAGGGACATAGGTAACAGACTCTTGCATGTGCCTGAGAGTCTGAGTTCTGGAGAGGCAGGGGGTAGGAGAAGAGGCAGATGCACATTGGCCTGAAGGAGGGTGCACAAGATTCAAATGGCTCTGTCATTATTTAACTAAAAGGACCCTGGGAAAGACATGTCATCTCTCTTTCCTGAATTACCCAAAGCTCCGTTTGGCACTTCATCATATACAATCTCATAGCTTGGGCTGATGTGTGTGACTGCAGATTGCTAGACAGCAGGGCCCACGCTACACTCCCACCTCCCCCAGCACTCTGTAAATAGGATGTGTGTATGTGAAGGGGGAGGTAGCTGGGGAGAAATGCTTGTGTTGAAGTGTACACACACTCTTACAAAGACTACCCAGCTTCATTTTAAAAACTGTACCCTCATTCTACCCTGAGGGATTAACAGTGCCATTTTATAGATGAGAAAACAGGCTTTAAGAGGTTAAGTAACTGGCCTTGAAATTCATTCTTGTGTTTACAGATAATCAGTACTGGAAAAGCCTGAGAAGAGGGAAACAGGGTAAACCTGAAGGGGAATTATCAAAGGCATAAATGTGCAGTTTTGTGCACAGATGTGTATTGGGGGAGTAGGCAGAAAGGAAGGGGTGTGAAAGAGAAAAGTGAGTTTAATGTGATGAGATGGGAGGGTTCCTAGTGGGAAACAGAAGGGAGAAGTCAGCAAATAGTTGGGAGACACCACAGAAGAAAATCCCAATAGATGAAGGAAGTCCAAGCTGGGAAGCCCAGGAAAGACATGGCTAAGAAAAATAAATCTGCAGTCCTGTGGGAAAGTGGGTTGGGGGTGGCGGTGACAGTGGAGGGAGGGCAGGAAGACTGCTAGCTCCACAGTACCAGACAGGAGAGAGATTAGCCTGCAGGGGCCCAGTGGGCTAAGGGATACAGCTCCTCAGGTTCTCACACAACTCACAGTGCCGACTTCAGGTACCTGTGCAGCTGTAGCGATCTGGAGGCAGGTTTAGCATCACACTCGCGCCTACACTCTGTGAGGCAAGCCTTCCTCCTCAAAGGTGCCCTGACAGCCAACTTATAACCTCACACGTTTCACATGAACAAAATGTGTAAATTACAATGCAGAGTTCCAGTATGGCACTTGCATAACTGTAGCTGAGCAGTTACCTAAGTATCTCCGATAATATAGATTTACATCACAATCCATTTCTTTCTGCTGTCCTTCCACTTGAGAACCTAATGATCAGATGGGACAGTAATTAATGGAACTTTCTCTAGGAAGACCCTCTGACAATGCTCTTCTCTGCAAATCAAGCTCATAAAATATGAATGAGGGGAATACTGACAGTGGAAGAGACTCCAAATCAAAGGAAGAAATGAATCCTAACCTAGCCATGAGTTTGTGTCCTGGGATACAGGGAGGGCATTCTTTGAGCAGGTTGTTACTCATCCTTAATGTCACTATCCTGGCTGCTACACAGGGCGGCTGGGAGACGATCCCATTTGAAAACCTTCTGGTGTACTTTACAAGCACAGAACATAAAACGTAGTTTTGTTTTTGCTAGGCTATTCTCCCCAACTCCGCTGTAAGAAAATGGCTGTTGTTCTCAGCCACCTACACACCAGTGTTTGGTTCCAGGCTTCGCACAGAGCAGTTACTCACTGTATAGCAGGGATCCTAGGTGAAGGGGGTAGGTATGAACTCCTGAAACTTGAGCAGAGGTTCCCTGAGGCAAAGAACTCTGGCCTAGTCAAGTTGTCCTGCTTCCTGTTCACTGTGGCAGCATTTCTGTTCCTGCTTTGCCATCTCCACCTCTGGTTTGCCCAGCACTCTCCCTTTAGGTGGCGTGATCTTTATTTGGGCCAAATATATAGCTGAGGTGCTTCTTCAGTAGGGACTGTCACCAGGGCACCAATGCTGTAGTCTCACTGTTCCACTGTGCCTCAGAAGCCTGTTTTGCCTGTTAAGTTTTCCTCCCAGCCAGTCGTCTTGGAGTCAGACCCAAAGCTGGGCCTTCTGGTTTGCCCTCTCTTGACTCCAGCCTGGTGAACGGTTAGCAAGGAAAAGGGAGTGTCAGGACATGTCGACAAATGATGGAAAATCACCACCCACCACCCCTTCTCAGCTTTAGCATGCTGAGTCCTAAAAAAGCCACAAACTTATATATACAGATACATATATATGTGTATATATATATATACATATATATATTTTTTTTTACCACGAGAGACAGAGCTGACAGAGAAGCCTCTGGAGCTGCCTGTCAGAAGGAATAGAGCACACCCACACTACCATTTTAAGGTATGGTTTGCTTAGATGTCAGTGAACCCCCAAGTGCCTTACATTCAACTTTTTTTTTAAGTAATCTCTGCATCCAACATGGGGCTCAAACTCACGAGTAGCATGCTCCACTGACCAAGCCAGCCAGATGCCCTTCCTTAAGTTCAATTTTAACTGTCATCTGAGAAGAGCTTCAAATTAGAGCTAAATAATAATACCTAGCATATATGCCAGGCACCTTGCTAAGTACTTTTCATGCATTAGCTCACTTGATCCTTATAAGCTCTGAGATAGACACCATTATTATTGCTTTCAACAGAGGAAGAAACTAAGGTTCGGACAGGTTAAGTAACTTGCCAAAGATCAAATGGTTGGTGTGGTCAATCTGGGATCTGAGGTCAGGACTAAGGTCAAGGTCAAGACCCTTAACTTGCAAAAGGCTATGTCGCCAGGATCCCAGTACTTAAGGCAACGTCTTTGCTTTCGTCTGGCTGTTACTTACTCCCTCACCCTTCTACCCCAGTCAGAAAAATGCTCACAAGTGTTCTTCTCCAAACCAGCCTGTCAGAAGGAAGAAAGAAATACTGGCATGGTTCTGGAACCTGAGGCCTCTGGCAACTACGCCTAGCCCTTCTATGAGCTCATAATAGTTTCTTCTGTGAGGAGTTGTCAACCTATGTCTCCCCTCAGCTGGCATATGCACAGCTTTATCTGCCTGGCAGGTTGGAGGTAGTCCTGAGCCCTGCTTCTGCATCATATGGCTTCCCCTTTCCTTGACCTGGGCTCTAGAACAAGGGAGCCAGGCCAAAGGATTCCTTTCCAGTCCTCTTTGGCCAATAACAAAGTATTTTCACCTGGATACCAGAAGGTACAATTCATGAGAGCTGTTTGTGTTGTTCACCACTGAATCCTCAAAAGAGTGCCTAGCATGTAGTAGGTATGCAATAGTTGTTGAATCAACCGAGTGAAGGGGGTACTGAATTGCTGACCACAAATTATGCAGCAAATTATTAAGTGGGTTCTGTAAAAGTGAACTGTGCACAACTATAGCTTTATGTATTCCAGAAACAGGAGACATCAAACCAAAAAAACAGATGGAAGAATCCAAAGCAAGAGGAAAAAAGAATCAGTTTAAAAACTAGGGGGATGGGGCAGGGAAGAAACAGGATTCCCAGATATTTAACTATCCCCCACTCCCAAACAAATATTACCAAACACGTTCAAACTGAGAAAAAGCATTTTTAATAACACACACATACATTCATGGGACTTTAAACAAGATGTAGTAAAAAATCTTAAAAAAAAAAAAAGAAGGGAAGAGAAAAGAAATCTGCATTTACTTGTAAACTGCCTAAGAGCTGGTGGAGCAACTGGCTGACAGGACTGCCCAGGGAAAACAGATGCACAGATAACGAGGTGCACCAACACTGTAAACGAGTAAGAAATAACCACCACAGATCGTGCTCTACATGCCCAGCCACCGGTACCCTAATATTGCCTCCTTGGAGACAAACCAGGACAGTCTCTTCCCTAATTTTCCAACTCAGTCACTTGTTATTGGGTCACCTCTTAAATTTTTTATTTTTAAATTTAAAAATTACCCTTGGTTTAAAGACTCCA